TTTTTCCTTTAAATACTTATTTAGTCCTATATATATATATATATATGTTCCTGTAGTAGATACATAAAATATATTTAAAATTTTGACGGTTATTTCAATTCAGTATGTGTGTATTTATTATTTTATATGTTTAATATAGCTAAATTAATTTTATATTAGTCATTTTAACTATAGTAAATTTAAAAATTGTAGATGATTTACTTCCAAAAGAAGAACTAAAAAATGAATTTAAATATGATTCTGAATCTGCCAAAGAAGAATCTGTAGATGATGATGAACATAAACTTGTAATAAAAGAAGAAGCTGATGATTTTAACAATGATTCAACAGCAAGCAGTTGTGACTATAGTTTGTCACAATTTAAAGATGAACCTCAATTTACTGATGCAGAAGAAGAAGCTGATGATCCACAAAGGGGAGTTAAAAAAGAACAATATGATGACGATGATGATCTGCCACTGGTATAAATGCTTTTATATTTTTGTATTTTTTCAAATATTTTTGAATTGATAAACAATTTTTATTATCAGGTTACAAAAGAAAATGTTAACTGTCAGTTATTTCCCAAAATGTAATTAAAAATGTTCATTTTGGCGTTTTACTTAAATTTTAAGTGCAAATAGATAATCAATATAAGTAAATTTTATTAAAGGAGTTGATTAGTAATGTTCTGAATTTTATAGGCAAATTGTTCAAAAAATTCTATGAAACGGAAAATTGAGTCAGAAGATGATGACGACGATGTACCTTTGGCCAAAAGAACAAAAATTAAAAAGGAAAAGGATAAGGAGAAAAAAAGAAAAAGGACAGAGGATGATGAAACTGAATATAAACCAATAAAAAAGGAGAAAAAAGATAAAAAAGTAAAGAAGGAGACTCTTGACATATCTCCAAATTTAAAGAAAGGAAGTAAAAAAAAGAAAGAAGAAGAGACTCAGGAAGTTTGGAAATGGTATGCAAATAATTTTATTATTAATAACTTAAAAATTGCAATTATATTACATTACACAGAAAATTTTATGTATGTGATTATTACTCGAGTTCGGATTATCTCCATCATATCATTATCATGAGGTCGTCAGTCATAAGACTGGCTGGACACGCACCTCCACTCTTTCCTATTCTGAGCTAATCTTCGCATTTCCCTAAAACTAGAACAACCTACATCCTTAAATATTTGCGAGCGGTAATAAAAAAAATAGCAAATATACTCATGTAAATATGCTTAAAAAAATCATTAAAATATACAGTAATACATATATATCAAAGCCACAAAGAAAACTTCAACACTTTCGTTTAGTGATATAAAAACAACATTGCTCTAGAAAATACCACAAATGGCGCGGTAAACGCCATCCGTAGTACAATGCTACATTTTAGGATTACGTATGCTCCAACGAGGTCCATTTAAATATATGGATATCTACTTGCTGAAACGAATCCCGGCGTAGCTAACCACTACGTGATAGGCACGTTACCATAATCGAATAAAATAATTCGAAGTGGTCTGTATTCTGTCGAAACTGCCAGACGCGGATCGCGATTTCGATCTTTTTGGATCTCATCAGCGCGTCGCAGGCAGCTCCGACAGAACACAGACCAACTTTTACCTGCTGTCTTAACAGT